TTTGCTAATTTCCCCATTTCTTCCACTTTCTCGATTGTTTAGTCAGCTCCCAACTGCTGGATTTTCAAGGGTGAAAAGTTTTGGAAAACATTTTGTTGTTTCTTTGAAAATTATGAGTCTTGATTTCACGAAACAAAATCCTCCTTGATAGTCGCGTATGAGTCGTCTGTCAGACCCATGGTGTATAATTTTTGATTTTGTTTTTTATGACATTATGTTTCTATGATATCTCAGAGGTATCTTCTAAGAATAGTTTTCCAGAATTTAAAGGACTGCATTATTTTTATTTCATTGCAAATAGTCATTAGTTCAAATGTCCGTAGTTTATGACCATATAGATTTTAAACCAAGACAGATATGATTATTTACAAAATTTCTGAAGTCAACCTGACGATCCTCGGCAGAAATGCAATATTTGGATAAAACATAGATGCAAAGTTTGCGATATTTTTAACTGTAGCAATGTAATTACGTTTTCTTGCAATACTGGTAAGTCTTTAAATTATCCAAAAAAAATTTACGTCTGGCAAAAGCGTATCTAGACTCAACCGTTATTGTAGTATTTGTAAGTAGGTAGCGTAGCGGTCTTATGCGCTTATATTCATTTATAGGCAAGTTTGTGGTCAGAGATAAAGGGGATTTGAATCCTACACCAGACCATGTGGAGTTTTAATTAAATTGCATGGTTCGTTATAGGATTTGATGTGTTCCGTATTAATAGAAATTAAATTTCTGTTGATATGACATGCAGATTATAAAATCGCCACGGCAAATAATAATAATAATCCCTTTCCCTACACAAGTCGTTCAGCCAACTTTAGGGGCTGAAATTCACTCGTGAAGGGGTGAATTTGTTTCATTCATAAAATTCCTTCGATACAGTACTAGTCCAGGAGCCAGTGAAGTTTTTTCGTACTTGTTTTTCCGGTCGGTGTATATTTAAATAATCTTTTCCCAGTGAACTGTATATTTAAAATGAAACGCCAGTCTCTATTAATAAAAGTAAGCCAAATTGAATTCGCGAATTACATCACATAGATATTGGTGAGATTGCGCACAAAGTGCCTTTGCAGGCCTATATAATAATCATGATAAATTAATATTTTTGAAACTCAACAGTATGGACATATTTTTTATTATTTCTTACTCTAAGAGTACCTAACAAACGTTTGTTTTGAAAGTCATTTGTAATAGATAAACCAATATATCAGTTTGGTCAAATTTACCTTCAGATAGTCTAGAGGCTTTTTTCGAGAAGTATCTAATGGAGAGTGTTAGAAACAATAGATCTTTTTTACACCCACACATCAACTGGGAGCATAAAAATATTAAAGTGACGAGGCCTAAAACCTTGACCAGCGGCATTAATTTCATTGGGATAATACATTTACATTTAAATAAAACGCGTTAAGATAAATTTACTGTAGTTTTATTAGTAAAGTATTAACAGTAAAATTTTTCATAAAAACGACCCCATTTCAAGCAACTTATTTTCAGTGATTTAAGTTATCGATTAAGGTTTTATTTTTGTTTTATTAGATTAAAAGTATTCTTTATTGTTAATAACAATTTAATAGATTAGAAATACGTTTTTTACATTTTTAATGTCATTTACAGAAAATAGCTAGATATGTATTTTTTTAAATAATTTGACAATTTATGAAAAAAAAAAAGTAAAAGTGGAATGACCAGTTGCCAGCAGGTCAATAAAATGTATCATATATTTCTATTATAACATAACTAGAATACCTACATCTTTTAATCACAAGGGCACAAGTTAAAAACCATTTTAATATGTGCTTAATGTAATAGGTCTTAATGTAATAGCTAAAAATAAAGAAAAAGAAAAAAAAAAAAACAGAAAAAAAAAATTCATAAAAAAGACTACATAATCAATTTTAAATAAACATAAAACAAAAAATTGTAAAATTGCATTTTCCCGACATCAAATCAATTAAGGAAAAAAAAATAACAATAAATTAGTTTGGCAAATGGATTCAGATTCCGCAGCCATAGTTCTCGAATTCACACACACACACACACACACACACACACACACACACAATGTAATAGCTAGTACAGCATGTTTTTTAAATATTTCCTAGTTCCTGTTAGAATGAAGTCACTTTTTATGAAATGTGTTCTAAAAACGGCATTTATGGCCGTCAGCGTTTCAGTCTTAGGATCTCTTTCTAAAGCCCTCATCCAAGCTGCATAACTATTAAAAGTTAATTAAAAAAAAACATGATATATAACTATATAGTTTTAGGTTCTGGGTGCCCCAAAAGAGGACACTTAGCCGACAATTTGGCTCAGATAACTAAAACTTAACAGTCGCGCCCCGAACCAGGGCGTATTGCTATTCTTTTAAGTAAAAAATAACTAGTCCTGAAAAATGAGGGCGTCTGACTTTTTCACCAAAAAGCCATACACTTTTTCCCATTGTGGCAAGATGACGATTAGGCAGATATCAACTAGAAGCATGTACTTAATGGTTATGAAGCTTATTTTAACACAAAACACAAAAAGAACAAAGCACTATTTGAAAAGCAGCAATAAAATATAAATAGACCACACAATTAAAATTTAAATTAAAAACTATAACTATAAAATACAGATACTTTAAAAGCGCAAAAGATTAGAACCAAACAAAACGAATAACCGTAATAACCTTAAAATCACACTTAAATTGTAAAAACTAGTACTTTAAAATCATTAGATTACGTCAATAATGCGTATGCGCCGGAGTATCGCAAATGTCAAAAGTACAGTGTTTTCATGAAAATTTAGCTATGTTTTAGCAGCATTAGAGGACCATTTCTACCACGCGCACCCATCAATTTTGGCGTTCCACAGTTTACTGTCTTTTCCTTACATCTCTAGTATAAATGATTTGACATAACGAAACTGTTAATATTTATAATTAATGTAGGTTTGTGTTTAAACTGTAAAGAAATTCTAAAATTAAACAGCAATAAGTGTTTCGTGTATTCATAATAAAATAATTATTACATAAAAGTGTAAAAGGAAATGTAATTGATCTCCCTATTTTCTTTTGTAATTTCTTCAATTATTATGTTTTATTTCTATAAATAAACCAACTGATCAGGTGAAACAATGTGATATATGATTTAGTTTATGTGTCCTATGTGTACACTTTAATATACAAAACACCTTGAACATTCTTTAAATAGTAGGAAAAATTGTGTATATAACTCGATGGAAAGTGTATTTTATGCACTTGCCAAATATATTATCCATTCTCACAGATTTATCAGACTATTTTTTTACTTTTAACTTCAGTATTCCTCTTACTACTAGAACTATTTTTATCACTGGAAAAAAGAGGCCGTGTTTTCGTATGTCCTGACGCATTTTTGGCTTCAACCCATCGGACCCCCTTCCCCTAAATACATATAAATTTTGCTTAGAATTGCCAACCCTACAATTCTCTATCTGTGTTTGATGACTGGGGAAAATAAATACCGAAAGTCGTCACTGTCTTCTGGAGTATACAGTTAATAGATTATGATGATGACTCCACAACAAATACATTTTTATCAATGGCTTGTTGAGGATGTGTTTATGACTGATCGACACTGCGAGCATATTTGTGTTTGAATCTACGAGTACATGTAAAAGCTGTTTGTCAAATATGCCCAGAAGAAAACAATATAGAAGAAACTGCCATTAAAACAGAACTGTTTTATTTTATAAGTAAATACAAATTATTGCATGAATTATCATGAAGTTTTTTATCTGGTATTTATTTTACAAAAGAAAAATTTATTGTTTAATCATTACACAAAATATTTAAATTGACAAAATAATAAGATTTAAAAATTTTTTTTTGAAAACAATTTAAATTTCGGAAATTTAGTACTCATGGGTCGGGCAGACCCATAGGAACTAATCACGTTTAATAAGCGTACGTGCCTGATGAAGGAAGGCATTTATTGACTGAAATTTGCATAATTTGTAAGAAAACAACAAAATGTTAAATAAAAAATTTTCGCCTCACGTGGTATTAGGAAACATTATTTAACAATATAAATATAATTTTTATAAAGAATATTCGCGTCTGTATTTAAAATTATATTTCAAGGTGTGAAAAAGAAAGAAAAGAGGTCCTTTATATTTTACAAAGAAATTTATATTTGAACGGCGATCGATGACTTTTAAGTTGTTAGCCAAAATTAAAAAATTAAAATTAAAAAATGAAGGAATATTGATTTAATTTTACTTATGATAAAGTGAAAAAACTTCGAAACCGGTCGCCGTTCAATACAAATTTCTTTGTGAGATATAAAGAACCTGTTTTCTTTTTTTTTTCTTACTTTTAATCCATTAACTCACACCCAAGTTTCAATATATATTTCAGCAACTAAAATTATTTTTGTTCATTTTTCGTCACCTTTTTTTGCTGAAGAGATAATTAAAATACCTTCCAAACAAGGAGTCACACGAGCCCTTTTCTTATTTAAAATTTTCTAGGGATTGCTCATATTTCAGAGAAGCTGTAAGAGAAAGGTAATGTTTTCATTTTATAAATTGTAAAATTTAGAATAAAAATCGACCTATTTCAGGTTTTTTCCACAAGTACGCAATAATGCTATGAATGAGTGTATACCATACATAGGAAATGGACCGTATAGTATAATAATAATAGAGTAAAAAATCGGAATAAAATTCTTACGTTAAAGAGGTTTAGTCATATACATTGAGAAATAAATGTGCGATTTATTTTGAGAACACTTTTCTTCAAATTTCCCTCGTATTATTGTTTGATCAAGAATTTACGTAGGTACTCTATTTGAATAGTCTCGTATTGAATTTTACTCGTATTTTAAAAGACTCTCTCGGTTATGTAAATCCAAACCCATTTCGCAATAAAATTAGATACAAAAAGCAGGTAAAACAAAGGGAACAAAAAAGTACATTAGAGAGTACGAAAGAAAGTTATTAATCCTCCTTAATTCTTAGAGAAAACTTTAACAAACCTGATAGCAAGTTGGTGCCAATGACCGTCATCCAGGCGCGCAGGAATTCTAACCACATCTGTACCGTTGGCCGTAGAAGCGTGGATCACTTTGAGCGTCGAAAGCGTCGGTGTAGGAGTCCTAGACGTCACTTCCAGTGATAAATAGGTGTCCTGACGACTGCGGGATCTTATGCTGAAGATTGTGCCCATTGTTGACTATAAAAATGTAATATATTGTATTAAGAGTAAAATTGCAGGATGAAAAAGGATTTATGTCAGTTTCTCATAGAAAACTATATTTTGAAACTATTTAGTACAAAATTAAAATTAAAAACGCGTTATTTTTTCGTATCGTAGTTGTTTTAAAATAAGTTGATAATTTATGCTCATGTGTTGATAGATTTAGGGCCAGTTGCAAGAATGTTCATTAAAATGTATGAGCGTGATAGACTTAACGGAGCTTGAGAATATGATTTTTGCCAATCTTTTTGAGAGGAGTATTTACTTGACTTTAGAGCAGAGCATGCAAGGTTTTTGTAATGCCTCACTTTTAAAGTTTATTTTTAACTTATTCTGAAAGAAAAAATATGTGCGTGTAGGTAAAGGTTAAATCTGTGCTCCTCTGGAGACACTTTTTTAAAATTTCAATCTGTTTTTGAATTTTGAAACAGAGGAACATAGATTTAACCGTTATCTACACGTACATATTTTTTTCTTTTAAAAATAATCAAAACTTTATAAGTGGGGTACTAGGAAACCCTTACATTGCAAGATTTTTCGTCTGGCAAGTGGCGCCTCTGTTAGATTTTTAGGAAATTATTATTTGTCAATGAAAACAATTTACAATATATTTTACTGATGTTCTACGAGGGATAATTAAATTTTACGTATTTGTAGGTACACCTTATTGTTTTACGTAAATCATTTCTATAATACTAAGATCGACATATTTATATAATATGCACGGGTTTCACGGTTTAGGGATAATTTTTTATTTTGTAAAAAATTATGTAAGTACCGGTAACGACTTAACCCGTACCCCTCTGAACATTTGAATCGGTTTCTTTTGAATACATCTAAGAAGATATCTTTCTATCGAAAAAAAAAAAATACTAATAAAAATGCTAGAAGGGAACAATATATTTAATTTTTACCTACAGTTTGTTTGAAGTAGAACCAATTGCTTTAAAGTTTCAAATGATTTCTCTGGTGACAAAATACCGTTTTCCATTTCCTTGTTTAATCAATAAATATTCTGTATATAATCAATATAATGATTATTTTAAAAAGTTACTAGTAGAACTTTCTTATCAAACATAACGTTCTTGTGGGTCATTTAATAATGTTTTGTTATTTACTCGGCCTTATAACTGAAACCTAAAATTGACAAATGAACAAATAAAACTATACCTGTAAGGAAGCTGTTTGCTTTTTCTCATTATTATTTACAGAAAAATGTCTATCATTTCTATAATTTTTATAAAAAATAAAAATACGTGTGGCACTCAGGGACTGCCGCGGTAAAGCTATTGCATAGCATTTTTTATTAACTTATGCAATTATAATTATTTATTTTATTTATGCAGTATTTTTTCTTTCTTTGATATTAATTCAAGTTTTTTCTTTGATATTAATTCAGTTACATTTTTTGAGCATGGTGACCGATAAGAAAACAATTTTTATTGAATAAATGGGAAGTTAGTATTGTTTAAAATATTTTTATTATCTTACAATACATGTAGGTTATTAAGGAATTTTTACCATTGAAACTATAGGTTTATCATAACTGAAATAAGAAATATAAGGTTGAGACTTGATATCCTTTAAATATCTGGAAAATACCGCGTCAATGGTGGTCTCATATTTTGTTGTGGATTCTTGTGGATCATTATTCATTTTCAAATTCAATTTTTCAAAATTGTGTCTAAAAGAGATAGAATCAGTTATGAGCAGTTAGCAGCTAGTCTACACGCATTCGTCTAGTCGCACGCACACAAACACCGTGCCGAAGTCTGCTGAACTGAAACGACGTTAGACATTGCACAGCTTTCAAAGTCGCACCGCTGTGCCGGTCGGAATAGGGGGTGTAAGGTTTATTTTCGTTACGGAATTTCTTTTTCGATTTTTCGATTTGTCGATTTTTCGATTTTTCGATTTTTTGATTTTTCGATTTTTCGATTTTTCGATTTTTCGATTTTTCGATTTTTCGATTTTTCGATTTTTCGATTTTTCGATTTTTCGATTTTTCGATTTTTCGATTTTTCGATTTTTCGATTTTTCGATTTTTCGGTTTTTCGATTTTTCGATTTTTCGATTTTTCGATTTTTCGATTTTTCGATTTTTCGATTTTTCGATTTTTCAATTTTTCAATTTTTTTATTTTTCTATTTTTCGATTTTCTTTTATTGAATAAATGAGAAGTTAATATTGTTTAACACCACACCGCTGTACCGGTCGGAGTGGGGGGTGGTAGGTTTTTTTTTCGTTACGGTATTACGGAATTTCTTGATTTGGAAGCTATGCAATAGCTTAAAACCGTATGCAATCACAGTAGTTAATGTGATAAATACCAACTATTTTTTTTAGATGTTTGCTGAAGCAATTATTATAGAAAAACGAATTATTGTTTAAAAATTATTGATAAGTAAATGTTTTCCTATTTTTCACAATAATTTAAATTAAAAATTTAAAATTACGAATAACTGATAACTGCAAATTAAGAAAAGTTTCTTACTAAATTTTTTGAATTACTTTCTTAGTTTAACCTAAAAAATATCTGTTAGGGTCGATGCTCACGAACGATTTTTTAGCAGTCGCGTTAACGTCACGTTGACGCAAATAGAACTTTTAATTGACACGCAGCGCTCCTTGTTTTCTGTCCTGAAACAAGACAGAATAAATTCGTCTTAAAAACAGAAAAGATCGATGTAAGTTAAAAAAAAGAAGTGATATTTGTACCTATATTTTGTTTACAGTTTGTGAGGAAGAAGACGAAATACTGGGTATATCCTTACTTAAGTTTCCGTTTACTAAATGTTAAAAGGTGCTTTTATATTAAGCTTTTTGACTCAAGAAATAATGATAAATATATATTTTTTAATTATGTTCGTATACGCTCATTGCTCATTGATGAACTGAATTTAAAGCTTAAATAAAACAAGATCAAGAACAAGAATGTTCCTTTATTTCTTTTAGAATAATTCTGTGTCAAATTGCTCATCGCCCATAACTACTACGTTTTTCTACCACCTTTCGTGTATAATTTTTGAATAAAATAAATATATCTTTGAAACGCCAATGTACCGCTAAGACGTGGAGTTGAGAAGGTACCCTCTGACTTCATTGAATTTATTTCGACACCACCGACCGTTGCGTTAACGCGACTGCAACAAACGTTCGCGAGCACTAGCCCTTAAAATGCGGATGTTATTGCATCTGGTAAATCTTAACCATTTATCACAAAATCTGCATTAAATATGTTAAAATACTCGATAGGCATTTCTTACTAAAGTTAAATATTTTATTTAACTCAGATTACATGATGCGTCATATATAAAAGTATTTAAAATACCTATTTCCTTAAGATATAAAAATATTTGGTCCATCTACATTGATTCTCTGGTGTAACTAGTTGTTTTCCAGATGAAATTTTGCATCAGTGGGTCAAGATCGAACTTTTCGTTAAACCTTAGGGACATTTCTCTGACCGTGCAGGACCTATTTAGAAATGTATCTATAGATTTTGGGTTTTTGTTAGTTGTAAGAAATTCCATTCTCAAGGTCATGCATGCAATCGTTAAAATAATGATTAATAATATTTTATTATCGGAATTAGTTTTATAATTATGCTTCACCTTCAGTTATAACTTTTATATATCCGCACATCTAATACCCCGCATGAATCTTTATATTGTACATTTTTCTTTTAGTTTCTATATATAAAGACTTTTAAGAATAAAATTGAAATAAATCGCCATGGTGCGAATTCTTGATTCTTGTTAATTTTTCAAGGTATTTACATTTGCAACCAATTTTCAAAACTTTTGCATTTTTTGACAAAATTAGAGGAAAATAAAAAATTATTTTGATATTTTTACAAAAAAAAATATTTCCGTGCATAATAAAAGGTTGCAAATTGGAATAGCTGTTCCAAAAACCTGTATGAGTTATGTCATCGGTTTGCAGCACTTTTGCAATTTTTTTAAAAAAGTTATAATATATTTTAATTTTTTGAAATTATTAATATATTCCGGACCTCAGAACAAGTTGCAAAATTAAATTTACAATTATTTTAATTCAATAAAAATTCCAACAAAGTTTGAAAACTTTTGTAATTAATGTGAATTGATTATCTCTAATGACTGTCCTATATGAATTTTTGATAAACAGATGACAATAAAGAGATGATAGTAACAAAAAGAAGTTGGTAATGGTAAATTATCTAATTGTTAATTTTGGTTCTTCGACACGGATTTAATAGCTATTTATGCAACCAGTTATATGCCAAATTTTTTCAATTTTGACTAAATTATAAAATTGTGTTTAATAACAAATGACTTACGATAAATTTTTTGTATTTTTTGTATTAAAATAAGTTATTCTTATGTAGAATCGATAAATAATTGCAATTATATTTTTTATTTCGTCTATATTTACAAACAAACCATAAATTTTAATAAAATTATATAAAATCAATTTAATTACCAGTATTAAAACTAAATTGTTTTGTGTACCGATGGAGCTGATAGTATGCCATTTAGCTGTCATGCGAGACGTCCTGAGTTCAATTCTAGGATTAAAGACTAATTAAATTAAATCAATTTTTTAAGTTTATTTTAATATATAAATTAGTAAAAGTCATAAATAATTTTTAAATTACTTATTTAATCTTATTAGCCAAAATAATTTATAGAACTTTATAGATACTAGTTAGTGGGTCATAGAAAGAATTTACTGTACAACTCTAGTGGATTATCAGACGATGGAGCACTACGCCTACGCCGTCGTGCTTAAACTTCGTCTTCCTGTCTGCTCCATCATATCCACTCTTGTTGCACAAACTACTATTTAGTAAATAGTTTCATATTATTTAACGTTACATAACTGGTTGCATAAAGATGTCACTTTATATGTCAAAATTAGAAAAATATCTACTTTATGGGTTTGTATAATAAAACACTAGTTGGCTATACTAAAACCTTTATTTTATATAAAAAACTCATCCTGATAAAATAACTACTAATTAAAGAAATAACTTCAAATACCTCACTAATCTAGAAGTTATTATAATTTACATATTCTGACCAACAAAGATATTAAAAAAAAAATATATCGCAAATTATAATTATTATTTTGTACCCCAGAATATGTTGTTTCATTTTTGACCTACCTTTTTGTTACAGCCTGTATGTGAAAACTAAAAAAAGAAATTCGTTGAAACTGGAATGAGATTTTAAGAAAAAACAAGGTTGTTTAAAATACCCCTTAGAAATTTATTATAAAATACACTGGGGTGTTAACTAAGTAAACAATATTTTTACTATTTTGACCAGTGACCAGACTATAGTCTATTTTTAAGTATGAGAGAGTATTAAAATAATAAAGCGTTCGTAATCTATAGGCAAACCACTTCATTTAGTAGACAGTTAAAATATTTTTTGAAGTTATTCCTCGAGTATGCACTTATATTTTCACCTAATTAACCTGCTTATAACTTCTAAACAGCTAAAGTTAAAAATGTGCAATTTTTCTAAAATGATTTTCCACAAGGTATGTTAAGAACATTGGGTCAAACGGGTTATGTAGGTATAAGGGTTTAAACTTTGACTTTAAACAAAGTTATGTTCATAAATAATAATTTTAATATAAAAACTACTTCTTACCTACAAATCCAAATCAGAATCGAAATCAGAAGATGAACTGTCGCAACCAATATTTACAATGAGTGGCTCGATCATTTCATCAGTAATATTGTCCAACTTCCACATTTTCTCTTTTTCTTTAATCGTATGATTTACTGCCTTTTCCCAGTTTTCAGGCTTCACATTATTTACAGCCTCCAAAAACAACTGTTTAACATCACTCATTTTAAAAGAATTATTTTTTCTTGAAACTTCTCCCTTTATCTGTGCCCATATCAGTTCAATCGGGTTTACTTCGCAATGATATGGTGGTGATCTAACCACCGTCATCCCACGATTTTTTGCAATTTCATCATTTTCATATTTTTTGAATTTCTCTTTATGAAGGGAACACAAATGATACAGTTCTTTTCTCACAGAACCGGGATGGAACTTAATATTCTTTGAATTTAACCAATTCTGTAAATCTTTTTTTAACCACTTGGTTGTGGGCATTTTTTCTATAAGTCTCGAGTGATAACTTGCATTATCCATTACTATTATACAGTTCTAAAGAAGAAGATCTATAATTTGTTTGAACCACTCTTTAAAGACATCAGCATTCATGTCCTCATGGTAGTCACCGGTACGGGTAGATTCAAAAGTCAATAAACCACATTTAACAAAACCGTTTGAACTACCGATGAAGATTTAAACCAGTAGATAAATTATTTAAAAAACCCTGTCTTCGACTTGTAACAGTTTCATCTTGCCAAAATTTTTGGTTTATGTCCCTCGTTGATCCATGTTTCATCTAAATAAAATATATTTCTTCTTCGGTTTCTCATTTCTTTTATAGTCCTTAGGTAATTTCTTCTCGATACTACAATATCGCTTCTTTCTATTAAAATAGACTTTCTGGAATGCTTTTTCCATAGAAAACCTATTTCTTTTAAAAGTTTCCATAGTGTGCTTCGACTCATTGCAGGGTAATCCTTATCATCTCGAACCGTGGCAAGAACTTTGTCTACTGTCGGAAATTCTTTTCTAAAGAAGAACTTTCCTTCGAAGTCTTTCTTTCAAAAGATTTTCTAATTGAAATTTTGGTTTTCCTGGAGCTTTACGTGCTGTTTTAAACTCGCCACATTTCTCTTCTTTAACAACTCTGTAAATCGTAGATTTCCCAACACCAAGCGTACTACTAACTAATTCCACTGTGTCATCAACACTTTTACATAAATGTTTGTCTGTAAATGATTTAAAACAATTAAATATTAATGTTTTCTCATTAACTGTTAAAGGACCGATTTTTTGTCGTTTACGCGGCCCTTCCAAATTTTCCGTGATCACACTAGAATTCACACTGCACCTTGCAAGTTGCAACTAAACGACATTTAGTAAATTGTCAAGAAAACACAACTTGGACCTCCTTACTAAATGGAAAACCTATAATCGCATTTTCGGTGAAATTTGTTGGGAAGGTATTTATCTACTTATAATTCGATTACTGTAAGAAATTGTTGGAATTAAAATAAAACAAAATTGGCAAATAGGTACTTATTGAAAATAATCTTAAGATACGGCTATGTAATCTTTAATATACAGGGCTTTTGGCCTGCCCAAAGCTTTTTCTATTGTTCTGTACAGCTTATGTTTATAAAGGAGCAATAAAAGACCCAAAACTTGTAATAGCTCAGGTACATTTATTACAATTTCAGGAAATATTTAGATTATTCTATAAAAATATTTTAAATGACCGTACTAAATTTTGCATTAGAAATGCTGTTTTATTACTCTCTCATACATAAAAATAGACATAAGAAAGAATTAGTCCAGTAGTAATTCCATTTATTCGTAATTAAGCCCTTATTTAAATTATGATTTATGTTAGAGAGACAGAGCTGTGGCATCGGCTGCAGCATTAAAAAGAGCGAGGCATCTGCTAAATCTAGTAGGAATAATTCTTTTGGCCTTGTTTATCTGAAGTGCGTGCACGCGTTTAATGAATGAGAACTGTAATTACTACTTTACACCATTGGCACATTGTAAAATATGTTGTACTTTTCTTTAAATCACTTTCAGCTACAATAATAGTTGCAACCAGAAAAAGACATTAAACAAATAATAATTGACATTAAGAATGCAAATATACTTCTTTACCGTAATTTTGAAAACCTTTTTGCATTTTAGACCCTTTATTTTGAAATATAACGAATCTTGTAACAATACCCCCTACTAACTACGTGGATAAAATCGTGAATGCTTGCAATTCGATTTCTGTAAACACAATTGGTTTAGTTGTTGTTCGTCGTTGGACCAGACTGACAAAAACAATAAGTCGTGCCACTGAAATGATTTGGAGTGAGGGTAGCCATATGTGAGTAGTAGGGATTAAGTGTAAAGGTTAAAGAAAAGGTCCTTTATTTCTCACAAGTCAATTTAATTGGCGACCGGTTTCGAAGTTGTCACTTCATCATCAGGCACACCTAAATGGAATGTCAAGGAGTCAGTTGTAATAAAAACAATTATAAAAGCATGAACGGACTTTAACATATACAAAATAACAGAAAAAACACAAAAGAAAGTTAAAACAATAACCTTGACTAATTCCATAAAGGAAGCGCTACAAAAAGTTTAACAGAACGAGTTAAAAAAGTCATGTGTAATAAGTATTTTTTAAAAAAATTTTTAATGTAGGTTAGGTTAAACCACCAGATGTCTTTTTGAATAAAATAATTAATTAAAACACATTTAAGACAATTTTTAACTAAACAACACAAAATAGTTTTACAAGCACAAACAGTTTAAAAATTTTTAAGGATATAATGTTAATTACTGAAAGTAAAAAGTAAAAAAGTAAAAATTATCAGACTGTCAAGACATCTATCTAGATTTTTAATGAATCAATGCAGTAAACTGTAAATTTTAAATTAGCGGATAAATAGTATACTAACGGAGGTGTTATTTACTGAAAGTGAGTATAGGTGGCGGGGACAAAATTTATTGAAAGTTATTGTTAGTATAAAATTTTTTTGCTTTCTCATTCTCAGTTTAATATATTTACTTTCAATAAATTTTGTCACCACCACCTATACTCACTTTTAGTAAATAACACCTCCGTTAGTACACTATTTATCCGCTAATTTAAAATTTACAGTTTACTGCATTGATTCGTTAAAAATCTAGATAGATGTCTTGACAGTCTGATAATTTTTACTTTTTTACTTTTTACTTTCAGTAATTAACATTATATCCTTAAAAATTTTTAAACTGTTTGTGCTTGTAAAACTATTTTGTGTTGTTTAGTTAAAAATTGTCTTAAATGTGTTTTAATTAATTATTTTATTCAAAAAGACATCTGGTGGTTTAACCTAACCTACATTAAAATTTTTTAAAAAATACTTATTACACATGACTTTTTTAGCTCGTTCTGTTAAACTTTTTGTAGCGCTTCCTTTATGGAATTAGTCAAGGTGAGTCAAGGTTATTGTTTTAACTTTCTTTTGTGTTTTTTCTGTTATTTTGTATATGTTAAAGTCCGTTCATGCTTTTATAATTGTTTTTATTACAACTGACTCCTTGACATTCCATTTAGGTGTGCCTGATGATGAAGTGACAACTTCGAAACCGGTCGCCAATTAAATTGACTTGTGAGAAATAAAGGACCTTTTCTTTAACCTTTACACTTAACCACTGAAATGAGGTTATAAAAAAATGTAAGTTTGATTGTTTGGGGTGGTTTCTAGGGAATGCTTGACAAGAGACTGATATGACTTTTTTAATAAACTATTCTTATTAATGTTAAATTAAATTATTTTTTGTTTGCTTTTGTAATATATTAAGTAAACAAATGTCTCTTCTTTTTTTTATCGTTCATAATAACTTTATAACCCAAAATCCACAATGGAATTAATTTTTAAAATGTGTATCGATTACTTACATTAGTCAACCTGAAAGTCAAAAACACAGAAAACTCTTTGGGAAAAAGGTTGTTTTCTTGTTGGAAATGGAAAAGCTCCTTGGAAGGCAGCCAAATATAAGAATTGGGTCGCAAACGCCAAGCAGACGGCCGGTCTGGCACCCTTTCCCATTTATCCACCCCCGGGTGGAAGGATTTATGACCTTCGATAGCCAAGGGGTTGATGATGTCCTCGCAACTGAAAGAACAACAAAAAATTGAATCAAGTGGGGTAGAGAGACAGAGCAAGGGAAATAAAAAATGACTTGAATTCAATTTCCGAGTTCTCATGTGAATTCAATCGGGTAGCTGATTTACTACAAATTTTTTATTTATAAATTGATGTTTTTTTTTTATACATGGCGTATAAATAAAATATTTTATGTAAATTGTTTTAAAATAGCCTCTTATAAAATAACTTCAGTATAATTTAATCTTTATTATTTATTTACTTATATTCGCTTAGCTACAATATTTTTACGGTATCAAAATTATTTAATAAATCCTTAATTAAATAGGAAAAATCTTTGATATAAAAAAAATTTAATAATAAAAAATTTGTCCATCTATGAGTACTTAAGAAAACTGATCAATAATTTGCACTTGTTATCGTAAAAAAATTCAAGTATCACTTTTTTAGCTGGATTTACTTTACGGTCGCTTTTTATAGACACAGGTTTATCATACTCATCGTTAGTAATTCTTAACAAATTTTATTAGTTAACAATGGATTTTTATACGATAATAAACATTTAAAACAATTCTTGCATTTAAGCCTCAAAAACAAGAATGTAAAATAAAATATTAGCTCTACGTGATGAGGCCTAAAAAATGTTGTGCGCCCCTCGCCCGTATGATCTTTTTGCTTGGCTTTGGCTACACTCGGCCGCAAATTTATGGCCTTGGTACACAAATAACTATTACCCATACTATGAAGTAGGGAAGAGTCTAGATCAGTGGTCGCCAACCTCTCAATGTGTTGAGCTACTTTGTTAATTTTAGAATAAACAGCGAGCTACCCACACGGAAGCCACGTAACGCAACGTAAATGAAATAATCCACAGTTAATTTATCATTATATGTATTTATTTTACTATTTAACTGGTAATACATAATACACACGTACTAAAGTCTATTCAAATTTAATTTACGCCTGATGTAAACAGAAGCAGGTGGACGCTAAAATTGAGCAGGGCCGTATTTTACTTTTCCGTCTTGCAAAAATGTAAAATAAAAGAGTGTAATTGTGAAATTATTTTTTTATTACGATAAAAACATATTTTGTAAAGTAAAACTATAAAAAAATGCCATACACGGTCTCCCAGACTTTAGTGACATTTCTGGACGAAGATAGGTGAGCGACATAAACTGCGTTAACCTGCAATATAAATTAATAAATGTATTTGACTTTAAAAGAGATGGTTGCATTATATATATTTAGTTCATTACATATGTCTACTGTAATACAGAGCATTAAAACAATCATATTATAAAATTATATTGTACAGGATGTCCAAATAATCCAAATTCTTTAATAGCTAATATATATCTATTAAAAGCATTAAAAAAACTTTAAATATAAGAGGTATTTGGTATTTGAATTTGGTATTTGATTTAAAATTGTGCATCTTAAAAAGAATCCTTTTGTATTTTTAATAACTTTTGTTCTTTATTGTTCTTGTTCTACTAGTATTTAGATTAGACAACTTGTACCCTGTATTATAGCAATCTTCCTTACTTGACCAAGCACTATTCTGAATCGGATAAATTAGTTAGACTTGAAAGGCTATCTTCATTAATCAAAATTACAGGTGGTTCTACCTGAACCTCTATAATATTATCCAACTCTCACATTTTTACTTCAACTTTTTGGCGAACATGGTCGATACACTTTTTCCATTTTTCTAGAGAAATTAATAATATTACTTCTTCAAAAAGAATTTTAATGTCTCCAGATTTAAATGTTGAGTTGTTATCTGCTACGTATTGTTTAACGTCAACCTAGGTTAATTTAATAGGGTTAAGTTCACAATGATACGGAGACATGTGAAGTATTATGTTGTTTTGCTGCTTAGCCATTTCATCTATTACATACCTATCATAATGTTTATGTTGCTTACCATGTTTTAGAAGTTGGATCTTAAGCATTTGGTTGTCGAATTCAATTTTTTTCCCTTATAGCCATTTTTAAATATCACCTTTTTTAGACGTCGTAGATATTTTTTCCAGCTTTCTCGAATAATAATGCAGTTATCTTCTAATTTTGGTAGAGTGTTTGAAAACCACTCTTTGAACGATTCTCCACACATTTCTTCATGGTAGTCACAGGATTTTTCATCTCAAATACATAAAGTGCATTAGAGACAAAGCCTTCTTCACTTCCAATATGGCATATAATGAGCTGTTTTTACGCACATACCGGATGGGTTTTTAAAACCAGTTAAAAGTTCATCCAAAAAGGCTTGTCTGGATGAAAAAACCGACATATCGAAACATACTTTTGATTTGGTGTGGCCTGCGTTAATCCAAGTCTCATCAAGATAATATATTTTTTGCTTTTCTTCTCTGTACCGTTTTATTAATTTGTTTATAACGTAGCTTTCTTTTTGGTTCAGAAAATTTATATATCTGCCTATACTCCTTCATAACATTAAAAACGGTTTTAGCGCACATCCCTGTTTTATCAACAACTCTCCTTTCAACATCATGTACCAACATATCAGGGTTCTCTAAAAATTAATGCTTATAAATATTAAGAACCATTTCTTTAGTACGGATGACCAAATTTCCCTTTTTCAGTCGCTTTATAGAAGGAGTAAAAACATTTTTCTGGACTTTATCTGCTGTATCTGTAGAGGATATAGTGTCACGCAGCAATTACAAAATATAGTCAATTAAATGTCCATAAAATAGAGTAAAACATGTTCAAACTAACAACAACCACAAAAACGAAACAAAAATAAATAACACAATATATGTATATCTAAACTATAATATAATGAATTATAATCAATCAAACATACAAAATGTCCAAACTAACCAACACGGTGAATGCTACCAAAACGCCGTTTATAATTATCCAAATTAAACTGAATTCGACTCTGACAAAAAATATTTGCGCGACGTCTAAATGACAAACGACCGATTAACCAATAGAAGCGCAAAAAAATGTCACGTGAGCTGTTGCTGGATAGGAGAAATTGTTTTGACGCGGCGTAAATAAAATCTGAATAGACTTTAATAATAAACTAATAACAACATAACTAATACTACTAGTACGTACTTGTTCATAGCTACATTCCTACCTACCAAACGAAGGTGTTTGAAAAATAAACACAAACTTTTATCCAGCCACAACGGCATGTCACGTAAGATTTAAAAATAGTTAATAATAACAACAAAAAAGTAACGCACTATCATGAACATAAACATTAAAAAATAAAAAAGCACGTTCAATGAGAAGGCTGACACTCAGACTCATCGATAATTTTTTTAATGTTTGCAGTATAATTTGATACAGCCATTCGAATACAATTATCCAAATGTTCATCTGTAAGTCGATTGCGATATTTGTTCTTAATAAACTTCATATTGGAAAAAGAAGATTCACACAAATAGGTTGAACTGAATAATGCTTTCACTTACAAGGCAGCACGGCATAGAACTGAATATTTGTCTTTACTTACAATAGGCCAGATACATTTGGTACTTGAGACTAACGATTTTAAGGCTAAATCATTTTGAAACTCAATTACTTCAATTTCTGTTGCAGCGATGTCTTCGCCAAAGTTCTGCATAACACAAGATGCAAACTGTTGGATATCAATTTCCATAAAGGGTGAAACAACGAACTGCGCTACTAAAGCCATTTCGTTGAAATCCTTAAAACGATTTTTGAAGTTATTCTTTAGAGTAGAAACTATTTCTACATATTTGTTGTCATAGGGTTCTAATGGATTTTGAGATATTTTTTCTGAAAGAATAGGAAAATGCTTGGCATCGCTGTTAATTAGGTTTTGTTCCCAAAACTCCAGCTTTTTGATAAATGCTTTTATATCAGAAATCATTTCCGCTAGTTCTTTGCCTCTCCTGAAGCTGCAAATTAAGTTCGTTTAATTTCTCTCTAATGTCCAGGAGAAAACCAAAATCTCTAAGCCAGATTGAATTTTCTAGTTCCGGAGTCGGTTCATCGCGTTGTTTGAAAAATTGAACTATGCCAGATAGGACATCATTAAAACGTTTCAGCACCCGTCCTCTACTTAACCATCGGACTTCAGAGTGAAGGAGTAGGTCCCCGTATTGACAGTCAACTTCATCGGCCAAGGTTTTAAATAATCTTCTTTGTAACGCTTGAGCTCTAATCTTGTTCACAATTTTTACCACCAGTTTTATAACGTTGTTTAGTTTCAGGAAATTTCCACATAATGCTTGCTGATGGATAATGCAGTGGTAACAGAGAAATTGCGGAAAAGTTTCATCTTTACGACATAACCATCCTGACGAACACGACCATCTGGGCAGTGTCAACGACATCTGTTGATTCATCCAGTTGAAGTGAAAAATAAAAACAGTTATCTAAGTTAGTTCTTAACTGTAAAAAAATATCATTGCTCATTACTTATACACGTCTCATCACTGTATTAGCAGAAAGTTGCATAGATTTTATAGCTGAAACTATCTCGTCTTTATTTCTAAAGTTGGCAAATAACGAATCAGCAGCTTCTAAAAACGCCTGTTTTATCATTTCCTCGTCTTCATAAGGTTTCTTTTTTTGTGCAATTATCTGGGACACACGGTACGCTGCTTCAGTTGCAGCCTTATTTTTGTCGACTGTTCTTAAAAATATTGATTGTTGTCCAATTAACTGCTTTTTTAACTGTTTCAGTTTCTCCTTTCTGGCGGCAGAATGTAGTGTGAATGATTTTTCAAAATTAGAATGTACAGTTTTATGATGTCTCTCAATATTTCCTTTTTTAGCAACGGAGACCGAAGTATTACGTAACGGTAGCTCGCGATCGACAGGTTGGCGACCACTGGTCTAGATAATCGACTATTTAAGACAACTGAATTTCGTATGAAAAGGTGGAAGTTTTTGCACGCTCGTAGAATAGTTATTTGTATTACTAGGGAGAAAAGTGCCAATTTTTCCTCTTATTGAACTGTTTTTTTGAAAATTTATTTACAGCACAAATAACGAAT